CTGGATTAGCAGTTTTGATACCTTTCATCATATTAAATGATATGTAACTGTATACAATGCAATGATTTTATATATATAGATTATGAAAATTTTATGGGTACGTCTAGTCTTGAATATCGATAATGCCTTTAATCCGGAATCTAAGTTGAATCCCGTGTCGAATACAGTAGCCAGGTTAACCACCAACTGACCACCAGAGCAAAGGTACATTAATAATAACGCTATGCCGAAAAATATTCTATACAAAAGAAAATTTTGGTCCATATTCAATGTGTTTCAGTTATGTAAATTTTTAATGTTTATCTGTGTTTTGCGTTAATTGGTTACCCAAAGGCCATAGACGTTACACAACGATGCCGCCGTCCACCTGGAGATATAATGTTTAAATCTAAATTATATAAAGTAACGGCCGTCCTACCCTTCAAACCGGAACATTTTGTGCTTTGCGACCGAAAGGAGCAGGATGCTGTTTATTTCCTACTTATGGCCTTACAACGTACTAGTAATTTGTATTTACTATTTTTGTGCACTTATTTTAGTAGCCGAACGCTCAAACTTTATTAATAAGCTAGCTGTACCCGTCCGCTTTGCTGGGTATTTAAATTAACATCATTATTTCTCACCCCCACAAAGATTCTCATCATTAACGCCCCCGCACCTGGTGTAGGGAGTCCAACACTCATATAAATATTAGCCTATCCATTACGTAAATGTATTTTCTATATGGATACCAAGTTTCAAGTCAATCGGATACATGGTTAAGTAGTTATAACGGAACATCCGTAAAAACCACTGTAGATTTATATATTACTAGTATAGAGTATATATTTATTGAGATAATATATTGATTATATGATGCATTCTTAGTATATAAATATTCTCGGTATTTTGTTTAATCGAATGACTGAAATTCGTTTAAAATACGATCGTTCTGCAACTGCCTTTACATTACACCACAAATTAATTGCGATAGAAATTTTAGTGCGAATATTACTATGGTTTAAAATTGGTTTTAAATACTGAAATTGGAACTGAATCCTCTCAATAGGAGGAATATATCGCAGATACTCAATATACCCCTGACAGTTCGGTGATCACTTCCGGTTTTAACCCTATGAATCACAGAGACATCATTGAATATCTGTCTATTGGTGCTCATGATGAAATCGATCTCACTTTTTGTTACACTATCGGGACTCATCCAGGTCCATTTCCTGTGGGGCGGATTCTGAAAGAAAGAATTCATCATATAAAGTCCTTCTTTCTCCAGATAGTTCGGCACGCTTTTGTCTCCTGGAGTTCCACTGCCCATATCCAAACTGCCCCACTTTCAACTAATCATTGCTTCTACAGCCCAGCTTCGCATTGAAGTCTCCCATAACAACAGTGAAATGTGTTTTGGAGCTATGCATGGCCCTACTAACGTCCTCATACAAGTCTCCACCTCATCGTCTAGGTGTGTCGGAGTGAGAGCGTAAATCTGTATGACCTTTAGCGAATGTCGTTTAGATATTCTGAATATAAGGCACGCTACCCTATTCGACGCACTCCCGATGGACACAATGTTGTTCACGAGAGACTTGTGGATGATAAACCCAATGCCACCTTGGGACTTCTGCTCTCCCTCTCGGTAAAAGAACAAGTGGCCGGACTGCAAAGTCATCGTATCCCCTCCCTGTCTTCTGATTTCTGATAAACCAATAACGTCCCAGCGCAGCTTGTCCATCTCTTCTTCCAGCTCGACGAGCTTCTCGTCTAGCCTCAGAGTGCGCATGTTGTGTGCTACCAGGGCCAGTGGTCGTCGTTTTTGGGGGTGGTAGCCGTGTCTCTGCTGGGGATTCTTAGCACCCCCTGCCCCACCGTTACCGTGACCGCTACCGTAGCCAAGAATAGCGGAGCCGCCGGGGACTAGGGGCCTGGTCTCTCTATTACTTTCCATGGAGGTATTTAGCCAACTGTACCACGCTGGCTAGACGAGTTGGTACATGGTTTAATTTCGAGTTTTCCTTTTCTCGCACTGATGTCTTGTGCATATTCCCTTAGTTGGTTCTTACGACTCCCTGGGATAGTATGGGGGTGGTGACACATTGATTCTTACTCTGTCACCACACGGATTATTTATTAAAGGAGATAAAAACACCAAAAGCATTACAGTACCAAAACTGTACAATCGCCGTGTGTCGATTTAAATAAAACAGTTATTGAAGTATGTATTAACAAAAAAGTTATTATATTTTCAATTCCCTGGATGAAGTCTGTGACAATGTTTGAAATCGTTTCGCAGTAAGAGAGAGACGTTTAAAAAATATCAGACATTGGGTCTTAATAGGATTTTTCACGAGCCGTAGACACAATTAAAACTAGTTTTACGATTTAATCTCACGCTTATTATTTTAGTTTTATTGCTTGCGAAGTTTCGAATACTGCACATATTTCGTCATAGACGAACGAATAAGATTTTCAACGAACACCAACCAACGAAACCCTAAACCATGTTTTAAACAAATTCGTATTTATGTTAAATCCATTACTGCTTTAAAAGCAAACAATGCGGGGCTTAAACAGTTGCCGAGACATTTCAAACTAGAAAAAATAACATTTTATTCCCGCAGGTCGTAAAAAAACACCAAGAATTTCCAGTCTGTGAAATGTTTGGTCGAATAAAATTAAAACAAAGCTGGTATGCACACTTTGTGTTTTCAAGGTGTTACTTCGCATTAAAGTACATTAGTGAGATAACATTTATAATTTAAGATATTCAGTATATATTTTCGAAATCATAAAAAAGACGTGAAATAATCAAATTGAAAACTGGTATTGTAGAAGTTTCGACGAAAACCATCTTGTAGATTCAGGTATGTCCTCATATTAGAATAAGCTTTGAATAAATTATTGTAATTAAATTTATAATTTTGAAATTTTTGGAACGAAGTTCCTTATGGGACGATGCGGAGGGGTACCCTAACCGGGGAAAAACGTCCGTAACGTAAAATTTTTATTAGTGATGCACACAGTGTACGACTTAACTCTGTAATAACGTACAAAAAATAACATACTTTTTTATCATTCATTGACCACAATACACTAAATCTTATGCAAACAACCGTGAATGAAGTGGACCACAATAAGTTCGCACGTTACCGAATGACCGTGGGTTGTTGCGAAACCTCCAGTTTTATTTCCTTTATCCCTCGAATAGAACTTAAAATTAATATTTTTATAATAAGGAACTTCGTTCCTATCCGGTGTCCCACGACACCACACATATTTTTTATTTGATATTTAGGCTAGGTATGTGATATGTGGTAGGGCCTTAGAATAGCAGAATCCCATTTTTTTCTCGTTAGTGTAATTAAGAGTGATTAAAACATTCACCAGAGAACGGACAACAGCGTTATTTGAGTATTATACGAAAATACTACAATCGCCAATTACCATTTACTGATAGCAGAGCGTATTAAAAACCAGTACGGGTGGATACCGCTATCGTGGTCATGCTTTTCGGCTTGTAGGGCCGTGTCATTTCCCAAGTTAGGTGGCGATGTACACTGTGATGTTCATGAGCTCCGGTAACCACTTTACTGTGTTACCGGGGACCTCTGAAAAAATACACTCAATTTAAAAAAAAAAATAAAAAAAAAAAAACGAAATACGCTTTTATAGAAAATCCAACTAAAAAATAGAAAATTGATGTATGGTATCAGTAGTTATAAATATTTTATGAACAAATATGAGTAGAAGGGTTATTTTGATAATATTCTGAAAAGCACCCCACGCTTTTTTTTACAATAAAATCATTTTTTCTTACACTCTGTTTAATTCAAATTTATTAAAATTTATTTTCTATTTTTTAGTTGGATTTTCTATAAAATGATATTTTGTTAGTTTTTTAAACTATTACCTATTTATTTTTAATTTTTAAGAAAAATTTCAAAATTATACCAAATTTCGAGTTAATCCGACGTTTTGAAGGGGCTAAAATCATGTTCAAAGATTCCGTTACAAACATACATACGTCTGAAGCTAATAAAAGCGTATTAGGAAAGAAGAAAATTTGCAAAAAAATTAATTAATTAAAAACATACTTTGCCTTTGTTTCCTAAGGAAATTTTATCCATGCTTCCTTAATTATACTGTCTTAACCTAGACGTTCTTCTTCAATACAAAGGTATTCAAGAACACTCGACGAGAGGAAATATTATTAAAAAGCGCAGACAACTAACTGCTTGGGATATTTTATAAAACAAAATAAACAACGTCAAAGGTTCTCTATAAAAATATTATAGCACGTTCTCTCCGCGTACTGAATACAATTTTAAACGGGATATACTCGTACTAACGACTCAACTCGATGTTTGTTCGTAAACAAGAAAGAATATTTATTTACTAAGACAAGTATAAATACTCAGCTATTTTTATAGAAACTGCATTATTTTACTAACTTGTTTCTAGGTGGGATTAGTGATTTTGTATTATGGTAAAAGAGCCGCTCCCGAAGATAGAACGCGTAAAAGTCGTTTTAATTTAAAAAATTCTAAAATTTGAGTTAACTTTTACACGATCGAGAAGTCGTTCTCGATCGTGTAAAAGTGAACTCAAATTTTACGGAGTTGGAACAGCACCCCTAGCGGCAAACGAAGGGAAGCTATTCCAAATCCATACAAATTTGAGTTCACTTTCACGCGATCGAGAAGCTAAAAACTCGCACTAAGCACACAGTTGTCCCATCCTTGTTCAACATTAACAGAAACTAAAATTCATATTCGACTGAGCATAAGTACATATTTTTTAAATAATTAAAAGGTTTTGAATTTAGCAATAAAATTAGCGAAGGTACCTGGCGATAATGCGAGGTCATTGACCTTATTATGTCCCAACTGATTCGAAAACAAATGCAATGCGTATGTAATAGCATAGACACGGATGAATGTGTTCATTGAAATGTAAACAAATGACAATCGCTTTTTTAAGTACGTATGTATAGATTTGTCAATACTCACAGAGCCGTTTTCTCTTGTCCGACGTTCTTAAGTGAATCAAGCATCATGATGGCGTGCTTCCGGTCCTCGATGAGAGCATCGCGCTTGGCACTATTCAGTGCTAGTTGCATCATTAGGCGCTGTGTCTGATATCGTTGCTCTTTCAGCCTGCAATTGTATATAGCCTAACTGGAAGCTCAAGTAAGAGAAAACTTCTATTCTTTGCAAATTTGACTAGAGTTTGAAAGCAGTTGCAATTGATCCACATTATAACATATTAATGTCTTTATATCTTATATCTTGTCTGATGTATTGTAATATCTTTTTTATTGCTTAGATGAGTGGACGAGCTCACAGCCCGCCTGGTGTTAAGTGGTTACTGGAGCCCATAGACATCTACAACGTAAATGCGCTACCCACCTTGAGATATACGTTCTAAGGTCTCAATATAGTTACAACGGCTGCCCCACCCTTCAAACCGAAACGCATTACTGCTTCACGGCAGAAATAGGCAGGGTGGTGGCACCTACCCGCGCGTACTTTCAAGAGGTCCTACCACCAGTAAAATACCAGTAAATACCTGTAAATATTTAAAAAGAGGTGTAATCTCGGAAGCAGATTCCAATGTTCTTTTTATAAGTTACCTCAAGAGTATTTGATCGAAGGACGACACCAGAGTAGCTTTCTGTAAACGTTTACAAATGGCCATGACCTCCTCCAATTCCCAATGCACGGAGTGCACACTTCCATCCTCGTCGACTTCGTAAAGGTCATCAAGATTGGTCGCCTCCTATAAAATTTATTTACGTTATCGTTCTTACAAGATCTTAAACTAGACGTCTCTCTCGAAGGTACTAAAGGTTGGTAACATCCAATTAGGATGCATCGACAATCTTTCACCATCAAGCTTAGGCTTGTTTAGCATCGGAGAGGCATTAAAAATATATAATTAAAAGGTCGCATACAAAAAAAAAATCATACAACACGCAGTGCATGGTGTAGGCTTCGACGAGGTCAATGATCTTATTGCTTTTTTGCGTGTGTCATGTAATTGAACTTTAATTATTTGTATGCTATTATTTCGTGTGAAAAAAAAAAAAAAATTGATAAAAAAAAAATTGCGCACATTTCAATGATTAAGTAATATTAGTAGCTTTACGAAGAGATCGCGTACTCGTTTTTAACATGCTTTTCTTAGCGTGGTATGTTTATTTTTGTCTTCTTAAAGACGTCAAGTTAATATTTGAACACTTGCAAACGCATGAATGACCGGTGACAACGGAGTAATCTAAGAACTTCACTGTCATATCCTAACCAGTATCAACAGAATAAACAATATAAAATAAAATGTTGGTACGGCTTACTATTTAAGCTTTTATTTTTTTATTTTTAACTACCTACATATATTTTTAAATTCAATCGAGTTTGTCATGCTCTTTCTGTATAATAAATTTAGTAGTTAAGGAACAAATTGTTACAAATAAATAAGACTTTTATTACGTTATATTATTATCGTGTTATTAAACTAAGCTAATTAAACTAACTTTCAAAGTCAAGACCAATAAAGTACTTCCCTTTTGTAAATATACACATTTTACAAACTAAGTAAATACTTGACTTTAAATCGTGGAGCATAAGCTTCCCGGTGTACTTCTGGTCTCAAACCTCAAATCTCAAGGTAAATGCCGGAAATTATAGTGTTTGTGATATCTAAATATAAGAAGAGCCCTTACGCCAATACACAAAGAGTTCAATAGTTAAATCACGCTGCTTACGTACATCACACAATTGACTAAAGCCCATATTAAAGCCTGTATTTCTGCAATTTAAAAGACTTGCAAATTATTCAATTGAATTTTTCACATATTAGACAATATATTATACAAAAATACATAAAAACCTATATCTTCGTACATCCAAGAAACCAACACGGGAATACAAACGTGCCAATGTCGATTTGAACTAAAGCTACATACGGTATACACCTTACGACACATGTCAAGGACTATTGAATGCTATATTCTAAGTTTTGTAGGATAAAGTCGAGAGCGCTAGAGAAAATTGCATTTTAAATTGCTGAGAGCACGATCGCCGGCTCAGTCGGAGGTCGCAAGCTTTTCTACGATAAGATGTTGAAGATCATCTTTCTCCGACGGGACTACAGGACGTAAACGATGTTTTGTGAGATACATTTTTGAAAATTTCTCTCGTAGTATACTGATATTCAATAGTGACTATATAAAAAAAAATCTAAATTTTTTTTTTTTTTTTTCGATTACCGTACGTTGATTTCAACGTGCTCTATTAGAAAAGTCGGTGTATGTTGAAAATTCTATGGTTTCTAACGCGCTATATTGGTCTACATGTACCTACGTAACAGAATATTTTAATTTCAATTTCACCGACTTCAGAACGTGCAATTAATTTGAAAACTTGCACACGCATCAAGGAACGATGACAATACAATTACTTTATCCTGACCAGCATCAACAGATCAGAAACAATATGAAATTATTTCTTAGTTCATTTTGATATTTTAGCGTATTTTTTAGTTATACATATACGAATTACATAAATACGACAAGAAAAGATGCTAAGAGTCATTTTCCCCGTGACTTCGTATAGAATATACTGACGACTACTTTTTTTATACGCAAATGTATCAACGAGCTCCTAGTTCAGCTAGTTAAATGTTTTACTAGGGCCATAGATATATGTATTATCATACCATGAATTTGACCACCTGTTTACAAAGTCTAAATTGTTTAATACTACTCATTTATAGGAGGCTTAGTATCATTGTCAACAAATACAAATAATAGTCAAATAACATATGTATGTAGAACACAAATATTATTGGGGGAAGCCACAATTATTAAAACTATCGTCAGACATCGCAGGGGAGAACATGATGATCGAGTCAAGGGAAATATTGAGCACACCAATCACGCCTGTTATCCTAGAACAATTTAGAAATCCCCTCTAGACGCCAGCAAATGAAAACGAATGACAGTACTTAGAACGGAGGCACCGCTCTTCAGAAGGCTGGTTGGTAAGTGTGATGGCGTCTACGCGCCCTCATCGGCTAAGCTCTGTCGTAGCACGAAGTTAGCCGAATTCCGACGATACCGCAATCGTGCTGCCATCTCTCGGGAATCGTGCTGCGTTTCTTTTAGCTACCAAATTAATGACAGTCTCCGACATTATTATATATGTACACTAATACCTATATGTATAGTAATATATTATTACTAGCTGGCCCAGCAAACGTTGTTTTGCCCTATAAATTATTGCTAGGAAAGATAAATAACCTAGTTATCGACTGCAGCGCCATCAGATTTGTAAATCTAAACCATTCTCGAATCCACGTGAAGGGCGGGAGATCAAATTGAATTTAAAAAAAAATCATAATTAAAGGAACTTGATGAATTATAAACTCTTAATAAGAATTTATCGTACTACAATTATTATAATATTTGATTGCCATCTTGCAACCTTATTGCGGATCTGTGCATAGAATAAAAAAATAAAAATCGAGATGGAAAAATAGGGGTTGATCATATAAAAGTGAAATTTGAAAGTAATATATTTTTTTAATTTTAAGTCAAGACAAAATAAAAAAAAATCTTGCCAAAAAAATTAAAGTTTATAATTAACAAATTAAAAATAGGGGTTGATCGTAGAGGGGTGAAAATTTAGGGTTGTATGTATTTTTGTATGCGGCCATATCATAAACAAATAAAAAAATAAAAACTGTCTAAAAAATAAAAATAAAAATTTTGGGGGACCACCCTTAATTTTTAGGGGGATGAAAAACAGATGTTGTCCGATTCTCCACCCTGGCCGATATGCACGCTAAGATTCACGAAAATCGGTCGAGCCGTTTCGGAGGAGTGCAATCACGCACACCGTGACACGAGAATTTTATATATTAGATAATATCTATATTAAATTGTAACCTCTTTCCGTATAAGATCGGGGAATGAGTCCGTCAAATACGCGACTTCCCTGCGGGCCAGTCTCAGCGTTCTCTCCCTCTCTTTCATATTGGCTTTTATTTCTTTCTCTAGTTTGCTGAATTCGAATTTCCTGTCGTCCAAATATTCAATGGCCAGCTGTCCCATTTCCGTTGCACTCATCAAACATTTACCTTGCGCGCGACAGTCTAATTTCAGAGCTTCTAGTACGACGGTGAAATACGACGAATCCTGATAAAAGTGGAAGAACATTTCGAAATTATTTTAAGTTCTATAAAAATCACGCCAACTATGTTTTAGACGTGCTTCTCGTACAAATGATTGCTGCGAGGGCATTATATTTACTCTCTGGATAAAAGCAGCTTCCATGCTTACAAACACGTAAATTTTATTTATTTGTGTAATGGCCAGCATCGCTTTGAATGGTAGGACTGACATTAAACCAGCTGAGACTTCGATCATGGCCAAAAATCGCCTTAGGACACCAGTGATGAGGTTATCTATCTATGCCAGGGTGGTTGTCAAACTGCAACGGCAATCTCTCTAGGTTTATGATAAGAAATGCACATTTTTCAAAAAACCATACATTGGAATGGTCCTTGAAAACAAAGGCTTGTATGATTTCTAGCATTGTAACAACGATCAAAAAGTTGCGCGAAGGCTATGGAAAAGGGCGATGCGTCTCCTAGCCGCTTGAGGGTTTAATTCAGGGTTCACAACCTCTGAACTGAATGAAGTGTTTTCCGCTTATTAAATAAATTTTGTTTTCGATTCATGTTACGATAGCAACTAATTTGCGTTTCAGTATCAGGAGCAATGTATCTCAGTGCCTTGTTGTTGTACCTTTTTCAGAATATCCAATATTTTCTTGTACATGACTTTGATGGCAAGCGCAGCATTTTTCTTGATGTTGGCTTTTTGCACATAGTTGGCAACGGCCTGCTCTTTCTTCTCGGCTGGCAATTTTCCACCGACTTCGTACAAAAGACGATCACGCATTTCTGCTGATTCCAACTAAAAATAAAAAGATTAAAATTAAAATAACGAAAAAGTAATAATAGGGCATAAAATGCAATACGATAAAATGTATGTAACAATGTAAAATGTACGATAAAAAACATGTTTTATGATATTTATACTATGCTGTATCATAATTTTCATTATACATTTCAATCTTTGATATATTTACTCTATATAGGTACTTTCTTTTAAGTTTAAGTAGGAATGTGGACCCGCTCACTAGACAGAGAAAACGCCAGGAAGAAGAAGAAATCTTTCTGTTAAAACGTCAGTTGAACTGTAGGTGATGATCGGAATACAAAAATTGTCATTTCAAAGTTATCGTTTTATTATTTAATCTAAACGCGCTTTTCCCTCTCATTACTATTCATTCTCAAATCTCATTTTCACATAACACTTAAGTAGAAAATTCATAAATTCAGTATTGGTGAAAAATCTAGTATGACGTCTGACCGACGATAAAATAAGACACGAGAAGACGCACGCGCCAGGCCACGTCAAGATTCAACCACCTCTCAATATTCATATTTATTGCCTACGAAGGTAGACGCATCTAATGGTGAGTAATCAGCCTTGCTCGTGGGTATCAGACGCATCTAATAGTGAGTAATCAGCCTTGGGCATCAGAAATTCATAGCCAAGTTGCTGCTTCGTTTAATAGGCATGTCATTAGTACGACAGACACAACACACAAACACCGTAGAGTTCGTTGCAGAGACGGATGGTGAATAGCAAGCATCTGACCACTCACTGTGAGTTAGAGCAACGAAAACGAAGGCAGTGTGGATGAATTCCAGAGGTGGGCGGTACGATCGTAAAAAAGAGATGATAGGATCGTCACAAAAACATCCTCGAAACACGTCCCATGGAACATGCAGAACTAAACACGCAATAGCAATGAGTAAGCCCGTACGATCCGTGCTGCCACCCTCTGATGCGTTACCACCCGTCACCCCGATGGAAGTTAAAGACTTGATCAAAGACCTACGTCCTCGCAAGGCTCCCGGTTCCGACGGTATATCCAACCGCGTTATTAAACTTCTACCCGTCCAACTCATCGTGATGTTGGCATCTATTTTCAATGCCGCTATGGCGAACTGTATCTTTCCCGCGGTGTGGAAAGAAGCGGACGTTATCGGCATACATAAACCCGGTAAACCAAAAAATCATCCGACGAGCTACCGCCCGATTAGCCTCCTCATGTCTCTAGGCAAACTGTATGAGCGTCTGCTCTACAAACGCCTCAGAGACTTCGTCTCATCCAAGGGCATTCTCATCGATGAACAATTCGGATTCCGTACAAATCACTCATGCGTTCAACAGGTGCACCGCCTCACGGAGCACATTCTTGTGGGGCTTAATCGACCAAAACCGTTATACACGGGAGCTCTCTTCTTCGACGTCGCAAAAGCGTTCGACAAAGTCTGGCACAATGGTTTGATTTTCAAACTATTCAACATGGGCGTGCCGGATAGTCTCGTGCTCATCATACGGGACTTCTTGTCGAACCGCTCTTTTCGATATCGAGTCGAGGGAACCCGCTCCTCCCCACGACCTCTCACAGCTGGAGTCCCGCAAGGCTCTGTCCTCTCACCCCTCCTATTTAGCTTATTCGTCAACGATATTCCCCGGTCGCCGCCGACCCATTTAGCTTTATTCGCCGACGACACGACTGTTTACTATTCTAGTAGAAATAAGTCCCTAATCGCGAAGAAGCTTCAGAGCGCAGCCCTAGCCCTAGGACAGTGGTTCCGAAAATGGCGCATAGACATCAACCCAGCGAAAAGTACTGCGGTGCTATTTCAGAGGGGAAGCTCCACACGGATTTCCTCCCGGATTAGGAGGAGGAATCTCACACCCCCGATTACTCTCTTTAGACAACCCATACCCTGGGCCAGGAAGGTCAAGTACCTGGGCGTTACCCTGGATGCATCGATGACATTCCGCCCGCATATAAAATCAGTCCGTGACCGTGCCGCGTTTATTCTCGGTAGACTCTACCCCATGATCTGTAAGCGGAGTAAAATGTCCCTTCGGAACAAGGTGACACTTTACAAAACTTGCATAAGGCCCGTCATGACTTACGCGAGTGTGGTGTTCGCTCACGCGGCCCGCACACACATAGACACCCTCCAATCCCTACAATCCCGCTTTTGCAGGTTAGCTGTCGGGGCTCCGTGGTTCGTGAGGAACGTTGACCTACACGACGACCTGGGCCTCGAATCAATTCGGAAATACATGAAGTCAGCGTCGGAACGATACTTCGATAAGGCTATGCGTCATGATAATCGCCTTATCGTTGCCGCCGCTGACTACTCCCCGAATCCTGATCATGCAGGAGCCAGTCACCGTCGACGCCCTAGACACGTCCTTACGGATCCATCAGATCCAATAACCTTTGCATTAGATGCCTTCAGCTCTAATACTAGGGGCAGGCTTAGGGACCCCGGTAACCGTACTCGTCGAACTCGACAAAGAGGTCGACGTGCAACCTAACCCATGCATCAGCCCGCTGAGTTTCTCGCCGGATCTTCTCAGCGGGTCGCGATTCCGATCCGGTAGTAGATTCATTCGCGAAACAATTGCTCTTGAGTTGTTAGGTCTCCTTCGGAGGCGCTCGGGCAGTTGTTAGCAAATCCCACCCCTCTTGGCTGAGCCTTTGCTCGCCCACCTGTCCTGGTGAAACTGGAAAGGCCTTCGGGCCACCAGTAAACTTTCAATCATAAAAAAAAAAAAAAACGATCCGTGAAACCAAGATTATTCACTTATGGTAAGAGTAGAATTTAAAGTATTAATATTAATGTCTGCACTTCATGCTAAATTGGTCTAATGCCATTCAAATAGGACAGGTAACGCGCCTGTAGGAATTATAAATGATCTGTAATACATAAATAATCTGTTAAAAAGCCCAATTACGAATTCAGTTTTTGTGTACATTCGTCCATTTATTTGGGTGTTGGTTTTGAAAACATAAGAGTTGAGAGGGGCCACCGCGTTTCTACTAATTTATTCAGCAGCATAACCGAATCTCTTAATTGGAACTTATGCAGTGCAGTGAATTTAACGCAAAGCACAAACGGTTCCATCATAATTAAGCACTTGAAAAATCAGTTTTTTCGCTATGATTCTTTATATTCTAACTTTATTTCAAAACAAATTGAAGATGAGTAATCGACAAGAAAATATATTCTGAGAAGAAGAAAAACTACGCTACTCAAAGTATTTATATTCTATCAGATAAAACCATCAGCGTAACTCAATTGATATGAATCTTAATATGAATCTTAATCCAAGGTTAGGTATCATTTGGTGGTACAAGGGTGGTATATCCATTATTATATGGTGCAATTGATATTGTCCGTTATGTACAAAATTGGTATTTATGTTGTAAAATATCTATAAGCAACATTTGTATAATTCTGGAAGCAACTTAAATAAAAACTAAACATGTTTTCCCGACCAACCTGTGTCAGTCGAAATTTTTCCATTTTCTTTTTCTTTGTGTACCTTATTCGATCTAGCTGCTTTCGTTTGTTGAAATTTTCTTGATGAATGCTCTCCAATACTTTCTAGAATAAATAGTTACGTTTAAAAACCTAAAGTCAACTTTAATTGTATTATTAACTAATAATACTATATATGATATAGTATTCGTCTAGTCTATATAATATAATCTTACTATATATGGCTTACACTTAGTACGATCGCAGGATTTTTTTTATTGCTTAGATGAGTGGACGAGCTCACAGCCCACCTTAGACATCTACAACGTAATGCGCCACTCATCTTGAGATATAAGTTCCAAGTTCTCAGTATAGTTACAACGGCTGCCCCGCCCTTCAAACCGAAACGCATTACTGTTTCACGGCAGAAATAGGCAGGGCGGTGGTGCCTACTCACAAGAGGTCCTACAACCAGTAAATATATTCTTATATTTCATATTCTTTAGGGTTATTAGTTAAGGTGAAGAAGGGACGTCGCCAATTCTAATATTTGCATCGATTAACAACGGTAATCACTCTGAATAAAATAAGTATATAGCAGCTGTTAAAAAGGAATATTACAGCCTGATTTAATAAAGGTAAAAATAGAAATAGCTAAATTAGTCCTAGACGAACATCGGCTTGGCTGTTCATATACGTGAGTTGGAGTCTCTTGTGCTCCTGGAATGCATTCCGAAGAAACTGTTTGTCTCCGTATACTGCGACTCCAAGTTCCTCGCGTCTTGTATTTATGTCTTTACGTAGTTGCCTAATATCCCTGCAGTAGCGTTTCTTCTGTTTCGCCAAATCCCCTTCATGGATCTTTCGGTCGCGTTCTACAATTAAAATTTATAATCGAAGTAATATATTATTATGATTTGGCAGTTTTTTTAGTTTTTATTATTACATATTTATTCTGAATCTCAAATGAGGAAAGCTCCTGTAAAAATATTAGAGTTGAATAAGATTTGCTTTCCGTTCTAGCTAGTTCATTACTTTGAACACGTTGTGCATATTCACAACTTCATTCGTTTTCATTTTTATACGTGTTTCCATAATTATTATAAGGTATCCCAAATTAAACATTATTACATCAACTATCCGTCAAGTAAACGTAATATATGCGTCAAAATAAGACTAAATATATTTGGGATTTTTTTTTTATACACTTTCATATTCAAATAGTAAAAAGCTGTTATTTTGATATTAGATACAAACATTCCAATTTTATTCATTTTAGTAGTATAACATGAGGAATGGTAGCCAATTTCTATCACCCAGTGGCCATATTCTTGTTTGCCTCTATAACATCGAGAATGAATAAAAACATATTGCATGTATTTATTTTAATGAATTTACTTTAATCTAAAATTTAATCTACTTAGTTGATTTGCCAACGATGCGGTTAATGTTTATTTAGCAAAAGTATATTTGTTAATCTGTTGCGTATTTAAAAATATTACTTGAAAATTGATAACAGATTTTTGAAAATAAAAGTACCTGTCCAAAATGATCCTTGGTTATTTCATAGTATTTATGTTTATACGCAAATTTGACATTTATATTTTGGATCAGTGAAAGATTTACTTATAATGAAACTTTATCCTACCACTCAACTCTTTTACATGTATTAGTCGCCTATATTTATATTTTTTTTATAATATATTTATAATCGAAGTATAAATTAAAATGAAATATAAACAAAGTCCATGTATTGTAGTTAATTTTAGATGAACTTTATGAGCTTTAACCTCTGATCGCAATAATTTATATAAAATTATATATATAGATTATATTACTCAATACTGCGGATACCACAAGGTAAGTATTACCTAATAAAAGAGGTTCAGAAGCTGTAATTTTATTTATAGATATAGAATAAAAATTCAATACCCTACAACAACGAATATCCTTGGACAGTAGCACGGCAATGTAATAAAAAATGATTGTATCTGCAGCACTAACAAGAGTCACAATTTCTATACACTATAAAATTGACGTTTAAATGACTCCAGCCTTCATTCTGCTGCATCTAAAAATGTCATCTGCAATGTGGATAGCGTCGCATACAACTTGTAAAATAGATAGAAAAATATAAAGGAAAAAGTGCACTTTATCCAAAAAAAAGAAACATACCCAATATTTTTTTTCTACATTAACGCAAGTAAATCTGCAGTGAAAAATAGTGTACAGTCAATAGTATACAAGCTAATTGAATAATAATTTTAATCGCTGCACCAATCTGTTACGTAACCTTCATTGGTAGGCAATGCTCTATTCAGAAAGCAATATAGGCTAGGTCTTATCTCGGTAATATTAAGGGTTTTATTGATGTATTAAATTGAAAACTATACAAACAACGTCACCGATAAAATCCAGTGGTTAATTAATAAGCTTGATCAAACATTCCAACAAATACTTTATACTGGTGAATAAGCAATCAACATTTACTAATTTACTAATATATGATCGACGAGCTAATGAAATAGAAATAATAATCAATTTGAAGCACCATAAAGCTTTATCAGTCCACGGTATTGGTTGATTTTATCTTTTATAACCCAATTATCATTTTGCATTCCATGTATACGAACTTTCGCAGCTGATAGCATTTTCTTCGAACTTTAATGCACTTTGGTGTATTTAAATGTAATAAAAATCACCCAAAACTAAGCCAACAGGGTGACGTCTGTCAAATTGCATAAGCTTTGGCATCGAATGACTTCATAATTAGTATATTTTCTTTGAAATTACAAAGAGATTGTCATCGTCACGGAAAAATTAAGTATTGTACTATAACAATATTATAAACTAGCGACCCGCCCTCGCTTCGCTTCGGAAACATTAAAACACACATGAAACCAAAAAAATAAAATGCAAAAATAATAATAAAAAAGTAGCCTATGTTCAACAGGGACAATGTCGGCTTCTAATGGAAAAAGAATTTTTCAAATCGGTCCAGTAGTTTCGGAGCCTATTCGAAACAAACAAACAAACAAATCTTTCCTCTTTATAATATTGTATAGATTAGAACGTTTCGTAGGATACAAAGATGTTTGTTAGTTACTAATTACTTAGCAATTAAAACGTAATGCAGACAAAGGTCAAATAGATATTATATAACTATAGTTAAAAAGAAAATCAAATTAATACTGTTCACATAAATTAACAATTAAACTTGCGATGTTCTTTCTATTTATTTGCAATTCCCCTCTGCGTTTGTTCGTGTTCTAAATTCTGTAACTCGTTTATTCTGTGGACTGCATTTTATTTTTTCTATATACGGATAAGCTCATGGCCCACCTGGTCTGGTGACCACCATCATATCTCCCACGTTAATGCCGCCACGCACCTTGAGACATGAGTTCTATGTCTCAGTTTGTTTAGTACAATGGCAGCCCCATTCTTCAAATCGAAACGCTTTACTGCTTCACGGTAGAAATAGGCAAGGCGGTAATACCTAACCGTGTGGGATCACAAGACCCACCAGTAAAGATGCCCTAACATCAGCTCATTTAATTACGTGCGAAATCTGTTTTCAAAGGTATTTTCCTCAGAACGAATTCAATACTACGACGCTTTCTCAAGACTACGACGTATCGACTTTAAGATTGATGATTGGCTATATATCTAGCATTGCCACAGTCTGTGAACGGTAACCACTTTTCATCACGTGGGCCGAATTGTTTTCAACTGTAATAGTCAAATCATCTATTCAAACTTTGGATGTGAAAGTTATGTGTCACTTTGTAACAAGTCTTGATTGCCATAATGAGCCTAAAGTAGTATTTTAAAAAAAATCATCACAGATCTTTTAAAAGAGATTTTATTTTTATTCGTTTTTTAATAATCGTACTGTATAAAACGAGTATGTATGTGTGTGTGAGTAATATGATAGAAAAATGCACAAAACTAGCAAAGGACTTTCCCAACTCCTGATGGTGGCACCTTTACTTAAACACAGGCCTCGGGGTGTTTGTTTTATCAGACAACACAAAATATACCAGACCATCTTTCTAAGCTTTACTAATTACTACTAACAGCCTGGCCACGGGACATTCGCCGATGCGAATATTCGCGCGGTGCGAACGGCGAAGCGTCTAGCGACTAAAACAAGCGCATAGAAATGTACCTAACAAGCCACGCGCACCGGCGACCGGCGAAGCGACCGGCGAAATGTACCGAGCGAATCGCGCGATGCGGCGGGCGAGCAAAACAAATGCATGAATACGGACGGCGCGAGCCACGGAGTCGAGCGGTAGTCGCGGCGAATAGTGCAGTGATTAAATGAGTTTAGTTGTTTTCGCCGCGAAAAATTAACGCCGAAATTTTTATATTTTTTATTTATTTTTTATTTTATATTTTTAAAGTCGTCGTGGCCTAACGGACGTCCGGTGCAATCGTGTTGAGCGATGCACCGGTGTTCGAATATCAGGCGGGTACCAATTTTTGTAATGAAATACGTACTCAACAACACTCAACGTTCACGATTGATTTCCACGGTGAAGGAATAACATCGTGTGATAAAAATGAAATCTTCAAAATAATAATTTGCGTAATTACTGGTGGTAGGACCTCTTGTGAGTCTACACGGGTGGGTACTACCACCCTGCCTATTTCTGCCGTGAAGTAGTAATGCGTTTCGGTTTGAAGGGTGAGGCAGCCATTATAACTATACTTGAGACCTTAGAACTTATATCTCAAGGTGGGTGGCGCATTTACGTTGTGGATGTCTATGGGCTCCAGTAACCACTTAACACAAGGTGGGCTGTGAGCTCGTCCACCCATCTAAGCAATAAAAAAATAAAATAGCTGAAATACTAGCTAGACCAGCTATTTGGAAGTCTAGCCACCCAAAGTATTTCTCGTACTTCTTGTGGAATTCTCCATCTATAGGTATACTCCGATTCTTATTCAAATCATGTACTTCACAATCTTTTCCAAATAATAGGTCCTGAACCAAAAAACTATTAATTTGTAAGCAATATCGAGATAATTTCGATATAGACATTTCGCTGTCGGACTTCCTTACTAGTCGCGGCGGCGAACGTGAGTACCCGTGGCCTGCAAACGGTGCTGCGCGAATGGTCGCCTCGCCCACCGCTTCGCTGTTCGCACCGCCGATCCCCGTGGCCAGGCCGTAATATCTACACATTCCCTGAGATTTTTTACCTAACGAGATTGTATCGCTTGGAAAATTTGTTCAGATAACTTAGGAAGGATATGATTAAATATAGTTTTACAAACGATGCCCACCTAAAATCCAACTTTATCAATTATACTGAAATTTGAATACACGCTGAGCAAAATTCATGTGAGATATATCAAAGTTAGAGGTAATATGAATTGCGGAACATTTGTGAATGGACAGTTGAAATTATGTTAAAGTAAGTCGATGCTCGTACGTTTTGAGCACGCTGTGGATCTCGCATAACTAGATTGAACATTGAATGAATTTGCCAATTAGATTTAGCGTGGTAATTATAAGAAACGATTTTATACATTAAATTTTAAATTACATTAAATTTTTCAACGGCCGTCTGGTGTAGTGGTAAGTGACATGGTCACTACACAAGGGGGTCGCGAGTTCGAATCCCGCCAAGGGAAGATATTTGTATGATAAATATAAATGTCTTTTCCAGGGTTATGGATGTATATTAAATATGTGTATGTGTAAAATAAAAATCTTATATTTATTTCCGTTATTTGGTACCTGTAACACAAGTTCTTTACGAACTTATCACGGGACCAGTTAACGTGGCGTGACTGTTAGTAAATATTTATTATTTATTTATACATTAAATTTTAACAATTCATTTTTGTTCATTCTTAAGATGGCATCAAATATCGTTGTCGTAGACTGTTAGTTACTAGAGCCCATATTATTGATATTTTATATTAGATCATAGTGTCAATTGTATTGACATATTCCGCATTTCAGACCAGAACCCTTGATTGTATGTATATCGGCAAAAAGACACCGTAGGTATCTTCGATCAACAATAGTAACATTGTTGATCGAAGGTAGGTATCAATACGTGCGCCCCCAAAGTTGAACATCGAAATTTGATTAAAATATCGAAGGCTAGTTTTGCTAGAGACGGCAAGTCTTCAAGGCAAAAGGACTGCAAGAAATAAGGAGTTGTTGTTGGGGCTTCTGCAGGCTGATTATGTTAAAATTAATCCTTAGTCGCTGGAAGAAGCCGGCGGAAGATTTATTATCATTTCTATCGGATCGTTACGGCCTGGCCACGGGGATCGGCGGTGCGAACAGCGAAGCGGTGGACGAGGCGACCATTCGCGCAGCACCGTTTGCAGGCCACGGGTACTCACGTTCGCCGCCGCGACTAGTAAGGAAGTCCGACAGCGAAATGTCTATATCGAAGTTATCTCGATATTGCTTACAAATTAATAGTTTTTTGGTTCAGGACCTATTATTTGGAAAAGATTGTGAAGTACATGATTTGAATAAGAATCGGAGTATACCTATAGATGGAGAATTCTACAAGAAGTACGAGAAATACTTTGGGTGGCTAGACTTCCAAATAGCTGGTCTAGCTAGTATTTCAGCTAATTTTTTTTTTATTGCTTAGATGGGTGGACGAGCTCACAGCCCACCTTGTGTTAAGTGGTTACTGGAGCCCATAGACATCCACAACGTAAATGCGCCACCCACCTTATAAGTTCTAACAGCCTGGCCACGGGACATTCGCCGATGCGAATATTCGCGCGGTGCGAACGGCGAAGCGTCTAGCGACTAAAACAAGCGCATAGAAATGTACCTAACAAGCCACGCGCACCGGCGACCGGCGAAGCGACCGGCGAAATGTACCGAGCGAATCGCGCGATGCGGCGGGCGAGCAAAACAAATGCATGAATACGGACGGCGCGAGCCACGGAGTCGAGCGGTAGTCGCGGCGAATAGTGCAGTGATTAAATGAGTTTAGTTGTTTTCGCCGCGAAAAATTAACGCCGAAATTTTTATATTTTTTATTTATTTTTTATTTTATATTTTTAAAGTCGTCGTGGCCTAACGGACGTCCGGTGCAATCGTGTTGAGCGATGCACCGGTGTTCGAATATCAGGCGGGTACCAATTTTTGTAATGAAATACGTACTCAACAACACTCAACGTTCACGATTGATTTCCACGGTGAAGGAATAACATCGTGTGATAAAAATGAAATCTTCAAAATAATAATTTGCGTAATTACTGGTGGTAGGACCTCTTGTGAGTCTACACGGGTGGGTACTACCACCCTGCCTATTTCTGCCGTGAAGTAGTAATGCGTTTCGGTTTGAAGGGTGAGGCAGCCATTATAACTCACAAGAGGTCCTACCACCAGTAATTACGCAAATTATAATTTTGAGGATTTCATTTTTATTACACGATGTTATTCCTTCACCGTGGAAATCAATCGTGAACAT